ATTCAACTATTCGTGTTGTCGATGAAGATTGTGGTTGTGTGGTTGTTGATGTAGAGGTGATCGTCGTCCGAGCAGCAGTAGCAGCAGCAGCAGCAGCAGCAGCAGCAGCAGCAGCAGCCGCACTAGTAGTAGTAGTAGTAGTAGTAGTAGTAGTAGTAGTAGTATAGTAGTAGTAGTAGTAGTAGTAGTAGTAGCAGTAGCAGGTAAGCAGGTAGCAGGTAGCAGGTAGCAGGTAGCAGTATAGCAGTAGCAGTAACAGTAGTAGTAGCAGCAGCAGCTGCAGCAGCAGCAGTAGCAGTAGTATCCTGCGCAGCAGGAGTTGCAGGAGTCTAGCAGTTGTGGAAGGGGTCACCGTAGGTCTCAGTGGCATCGTTGGTACAAGTTGTTGACATCTCTGGTGCTGGTGGTGTATTTCAACAAGGTTCTCATAGTGCAGATTTCAAGCCAGCTTCAGGTATGAGCCTTCTACATGGGATTTCTCTCGTCGCATTTAAGACCCCTGATGAAAACCCCCGTACCGCTGCTGTTGATATTGTAGGGTAGTGCATCAAATGACAAGAAACTGCCAAAAGAAGCAGGCCAAGGCCCTTTGAGCAAGGGGGTTTACCCTCTTCAGTATAAGTCTTGTGGCTTTATGCCGTATTGTATTGCTGTTACAACTACCTTGAGTCCACTGCCCTTCTGTTTGTTTCAATGCCACTGGTATTCTCAAATCGCGATTATCCGGGCGCAGTCATTATCATGCTCTTGCCTTTCCTCATCCTCTTCCTCAGCCGTATCATAACCTACTATGCTCAAAAATCATCATCATCATCATCATCATCATCACCATCGTCATCATGATGATCATGATGATCATGATCATCTAGGTCATCATCATCATCAGCAGCATCAGCATCACCATCACCATCACCATCATCATCATCATCACCATCACAATCACCATCACCATCATCACCATCATCACCATCATCATCACCATCATCATCACCGTCATCATCATCGTCATCATCACCATCATCGCCATCAGCATGGTCATTGTCGTCATCATCATCATCATGATCATCATCACCGTCATCATCCTCATCATCATTACCATCATCATCTTCACCATCATCATCATCATCATCATCATCATCGTCAACATCGTAATCATCATCATCATCATCATCGTCATCATCATCATCATCATCATCATCATCATCATCATCAGGGTCTTAACTTGAATTCTGTCGCGTTTAGTATGTCGGTGCTTTGTCGGCCACGGCCTCAGGTCAAGGAAGAATCAGACGGCGGCACTCCTTGCGACGGAGACACTGCGGAAGAATTACCCTGCAACACGTGCCCTGGCTCGTGTTCATCCAACGGAACAGACGCGGTCTCCAATTACCAGTCTCTACACACAAGCTGTGAGTTCTTGAGCAGTCTTAAGCAGGCATAGGTGAGCCACACCGGCTTCGAGTAGCTGAGTAGATCAGCTATCCGGCGTGTATCTAGAAGTCTCTAGCACCCTTTAAACTTTACAACTGCCCCAGTACCACATCTAGGCAAAGTCACTGTTTACCAGTATCTAGTGCAGCCTAATTGCAGTCCAGCGGTGCCGCAGGTTGTTTGGGAGTGTGGAGCCATAAACTGAGTCCTATACTTATGCGGTTCTTTTATTGTGAAATCCAGTAGCACCGAACCATGTCCAGGAGCGAAATCGTACAAGTATTTATGCACACCATACTGTAAATTTGTTTGTTTACTTCTCTGACCAACGTCCAACCGTATCGCTGACAAATGGACTAGCCGGCTGGCGCATGTGATCTTGCTGTCGGGCATGCAGCAAGATTGAAACTAGAGGCTGAGGGTGTTTGAGTCACTGCTGTACTTGGATACTTGTGCTGTCGGAATGGGCGTTTCGCACGAAAGTTGCACTGGTACGGGAGGTGGAAGAGCACAAATATGGCCAAGCACAAGCTCAAAGGGATCGTGAGCGTTGTTGCCGGCTGGAATCGACCGCTTGACCCTTCCAATCATCCAAACCATGTAACAGAAAAGGAACAAACCGTACCTCTGAGGCAAAGCTGTCCTGTGGACTGCCAGTGGGATGAGCCGCTGGCCTGCAACATATTTCAGAAGCCATGCCAAGAACATGAAACTGCTGTGTTGGGTTTTCATGGCCTTCAGTTTTCCCCAGCCCTGCAGGGTGAGCTTTCCTTTCAATCCGACATCTCCTCCTCGTGCTCCTGCTCCTCCTCCTCCCTCCTCCTTCCGTCGTCGTCTCCTCTTTCTGTTTCCGCGTGGTCATACATAGTACACCGATATACGTACACAAAGACACACTACACACGACACATTTATGTATGTAGTTATATATATATATATATGTGCCTATGCAAGTGGCCGGAATGGCCTATGCATGTGGCCAGAATGACAGAGTGCATCTGCATCCGAAAATTGACGGCCGGCCTTCTCATAAAGAGTGCTCCAGCGACAGTTCACCAAGACCTCGTTCGCCTTCGTCTTCCTCCTCATGATCATTGTCGCCCGTGCCATCGCCATCCAACACCGGTGCTGTGACATCGTCTTCGTCATCTTCTTTCATCATCGCCATCATCGGCACCACCGCTTGCCATCGTTATCGTCCTCCCCATCATTAAATGTTCGTTATCATTACCATGGTAGCCATGATCGCCATCATGATGACCATCCGGACAGTCGCAATCGGCTCCAACGCCCCCGCCACGACCGCGACAACCGCCACCCCGCCAATGCCACCTTTACCACCAAATTCATTGTCATCGTCACATCCCATTTGTCATCATACGCGAACAGCAGATTCGTAGTCTTGACCGTTCCTACTTTCAGCAAAGGCTGCGCAGAGCACCCCTCTTGCTCTGTGCCCCCTTGCAGTGTGACCGAGGTGGAGCTCCTGGACTGCTTGCAGCAAATCGTGCGAGGGCGGCGTGATCCAGCGCTTCCGCCCCTCGGCCCCAAAGCCCAAAGCGCGCCCGAGCCTTCACAGCCTTCACCCTGACCCACTCCCATGTTCGTTCCCCCAGCAAGCTCTCCGACCGAGGCCGGCATAGAACTAACTGAGAGAGTAGCTTTTTTTTCAAAGCGTGCGGACCGTAGTGCAATGAATGGGAGCAGCTTGAAATGATCCAAAGCAAGCATTCCTTCAACTGCTCACCCTTTGCGAGGTAATGTCGTTGAACCCGGTCGGAACGGAGGCTCCAGTTGCGTCGGCGATGCAGAGCAGGCTGGACGTTGACGATTCGCAGACCCCACAACTTTCTGTGGACTCTCCCGCTCCTCTTTTTGATTCTTTTGTTTGATTCCACCGCTCCCTGGAGCCCTCCACCCACTGCGTATTGATCCCTCTGGTCGCAGTTATGCAGGGAACCCTGCAGCAAGGCGTGTTGTTTTCGACTTTGGTGGGATTCGCGAGTATTTTGTTGAGCTAAAAAAAAGCTGAGACTGGTGTGTCGGGCGGGGGACGGCTCAGCAGCAGGCTCTTTGTCCGACATCGGCAGCGTTGTTTCGGGACACCGACAATGTTTGACCCCTTCGTGTTGTATTTTTATCCGCTGAAGACAGCAACGATGGGTGCGACTTGGGGTATGAATAGGACGCTTAGAACAAGTTTGACCCCTCGCGTGTTGCAGTTTGGGCCGGACAGCCCACAACAAGGTTCTTGGATCCCGACATTAGGTTTTGTGTGTTTACACGTGCTGAACAGCTTGGCCCTTACGCATTGTTGCAGCTTGGGCCGGGGACAGCACTAACACCGCTTGTTCGATTTCGGTGTTCGATTTCGTGTGTGGTTCTGGCATAATGCGAAATCTGACCCTTTTCGTCTGGGCTGCGAGTAGCACCACACCATGCTCGGAATTCGATGTTTTGCGTGCCTTTGCCATGCTGAAAAAGTTTGCCCGCTTTCGTGTTGCAGCTTGGACCGAGGATGTCACCAACACATGTTTGATATTCGATGTGGATGCTTTTGGGATGCTGCAAAGTTTGAAAGTTCCGCAGTTTCGGCAGGGGACGTGGACAACTGCACAATAGTCCTCCCGTTGGATGTTGACGGGAGGCTGAAAGCTTTGACACCTTTTGTGCAGCCGTTTGGACATGGGACGTTGTGCATTCTACCACGTGCATGTTCTGACTGCACTGGCATGTTGCACGTGGTTCTGGATGTCGGGAAAGTTAGACCTGTCGTGCTGCAGTTGGGCAGAACGTCAGAACAGTGCCTGCGTTCAAGCAGGAAGGGGGGTCAACCGGAAGACGGTGCCCAACCGGGTCAACTGGAAAAGCAAGGAGGGCGTCGTCAACAAAACAACATGCCGAAATCCAAGACAAACTGCAGCTATTCGTCCAGTGATGTTATTATTGCTATACCTTACACACAGCTTTTCCGGCTTATATATCATGTGCACTTTATGTAGCTGCGCTACATTGCGCTACACTGCATCAGACTGGGGATCAGACTGCTAGTTTTGAGTTTAATACGTTTAATAACAAACGTTTTGATTTCAAGCCACTTCCTGCCAGATCGTACAACATCATGCCAGATGGTACTAGAACGATGTACAGATGCACATGTGAATGAATGTGCACTCGCACACTTCAAGTTTCGACAGGAAGCTCCCTGCGAAGCCAGCAGCTGCCCCATGGCTTCATAAGGTGAGTGCATCCAGTGTATTCTACTGCAACGAGTTCGGGACTTTGAGAGAACCAGGTTGCTAAGTGTACGTGATTATTTCGTTTGTAGATTCTGTCTTCAACAAGCTGACACTATCATCTCAGGCCCTGTTGACTGTGTGATCACAGACTGGTCGGAGTGGTCGGCTTGCTCCACATCGTGCGATGGTGGTGTCATTGTCAGGCCGTGCAAGCAGTCCCACGGTCATCGTGTTTCGATCATATTGATACTTCAGCATTGCGGAGAGTGGATGTGGTCTCGCAGAGCATGTCCTTCTGTTGCTATGTAGAAGTTCAAGGCGTGTGACGTGTGCATACACGTAGGGACAGACTTGAGGAAGCTCTGCTGCAGGTTCCGAGCTGTTCAAGTTGAACCGGCCACCGGGACGGTTTAAGGCTTTCGGTTTGGGTTTACGTTCGGCTGCAGGCGCTTGCATTGAACCGCAACACTTCAGCACACCTCAATACTGAACCTGAGCTGGCACTTATCCTAGCCCCATGGCGCGTGGTGTTTGTGCGACCCGTGCGACAACAGCCCTGAAGCAATGGGCTGAAGAAAAGGAGGTGCTGCTGGGATTCGGAAACCTTGGTCTTTACGGACGGAGGATCTCATGCCTACGGCTCCGAGTCAGCTGAGGCTTTTGGAGGGCTTCAATGTGACATGGCTGAGCTTTGCCTCTACGGAAGGGTTTCGCTGACTCCGTCTACGATTGACTGTCAGTGAACATGTTAATCATCGAGTACAGTATCGCAGCAGTAGGCCACGATCTTCGTTGCTTAGAACTTGCGGGCCACGGACTGCAGACTTGCTTATACGAGTGTGTGTGTATGCATATGTACATTATATATATATATATATATATATATTTATGTATGAAGAAAATGTGTGAATGTATGTATGTATGCATATATATATATATATACAAGTATAGATATAGATATAGACATAGATAAGTCTTTTGATTTTACATGTGTGTTTCGCGATGGCAGACTTGCTTTACTTCCTTCCTCCTACCCTGATTTGAGTCTGGCTCAGGTCCGCAAAACCTGACGGAATCCTACGAATGCTCCGCAGCCCGATGCTTGGAAGGGCTCACCGGAGCAGACGGCCTCGTTAAATTTTGAGTCGCGCCTGACAGGGAATACAAACCTTTCCGGGCGCAGCCGCCGAAAGCAAACCAGAGAATCAGCTGGGAACAGAAGTAGTATACATGGAAGGAAACTCTTCGAGGCAATCACCTTTCGCAAGCTGCTCAAATCCCCCGGGGGCTTTGTTAAGTGTGTGTGTGTGTGTGTCCACACCGCCTCCCAAACGAGATTGTTCCATGACATGAAAACAAACCAAACAGCAAACGGCCAACGCGAGATTGCATGCTTGGTTAGTCCAAGTCTTGCCTTCCGCAACTGTGAAGCGGGTATTCTCAAGGTCATCAGATTAAGAGAGTTGAAGGCTCCGTGCAATCTTGGCAGCACTCAGAACTACTGCAGCCACTGACATTGACCTGACTCCGCGGCTACAAATCGGTGCGGAAGACTGACGATGGTTTCTGGTAGCTGAGATCAGGGCCGAGGCCGGAGGCCACATGGTTAAACTTGCCCACAGCATACAAGGGAGGATGGAAAATAGGGCGAACAGGGGGACAGCGATGGCAGACATCACGCTCGATGAGTAAGTTGCAGCAGAGCGAGAACCTCGTCCCGATCAGCTCGCTTTGCATGCCAGTCGGACCTTTCGAAGAGCACCTCACCTGCTGCTTCAAGAGAAAGCTGGGGCTTCTTTGTAACGAACTTCGGTGCTGGCGTCAATGAACAGCTGGGCAGAGGAGCCCGTCTCGATCAAGCACGGTCAGGAAGCAGGCCTTCCAAGCATGGTGCCGAAGTAGGAGATTGCACAACTACAGGACTTGCGCTAGCAAGCCACATGTGGCCACCTCCACGTGCTTGGCCGTTATTGTTTTGTACCGGTACGTAGTTCTACTTTGCCGTTCTCTCCGTCAACGTGGCCTGTGTGCAGGTGCATGCAGACTTTGGCATTGAGCTTCTGTGCAATATGCCGAGGCCCCATGCCCCGTTGACTGCAAGCTGGGCGATTGGAGGACAGAGGGCGCTGCGTGCGTGTTCGGATTTCAGGAGTTGGGACCAGAACTGAGCATACAAGGGTTCCTGAGCAATTTGACCTTCCTGTTTCAGCACGAAGGAATTGTCTGCGTAGCCGGAGGATACAGCACGTCAGTAACCAGAGGCTCCGAATGCGGTCCGGATGCTTTCAACTGATTATGTCTGGTCTGCTTGTTGCCAGAACAGTATCGTAGGCATCCCCAGCATGTCAACCCCGTTGGCAGAAAAGCGAAACTTGCTCCAGGGACTGGAGCCCGTGTTCAACTTCTTGTGGGCACGGCCAGCGCGTGCGGACCAGGTGCGCCGAGCATTTACGGACTGACCTTTGTCAGTGCAAGCCGAATATCCCGCACTGCCTTTGAAGCCACTGAAGTGAGACGACACATCGGCCGCAATCACTTGTGATCGACCACCGAAGCCAAATCAATCCTTTAAAATGTTTCAACCTCGACTGCGGAAGACTTGAAGAGCTGCGTAATGCTGCGTAAACTCGGAACCCCGCAAATGTGCCCAGTACTGAATCCGCGCAGCAGGCTTCGAGAAAATGAGCGCTTCGGCGGACTTCCGTGTGATGAGGTGCCTGTGGTGGTACTTGTAGCAAGTTCAAGGATGTAGTTTCCAGGGTAAGCCGGTGCTGACCTGCCAGGCCTTGGTACAGGAGGACGAGTGCTATGTGGCAGCTCGGCAGTGCTTTTTCTGTGAGCCTGGAGCTGTGCCGCAAGCAGCTGGAGATTGATGCGGACCATAGTTGAAGCCCACGCGTTTTTTCCCAGCCCCTCTCGGCCGTTTTCCGAGGCACCTCTGAGGCCGCAGTGTCCTGACCTTCCCACGACACACACGACGACGCTCCGGCAGCGTTCCGACGTTGCCATGACGGCTCCGCCCGAGTCGCTGCCGCCCGAGCTGGCCAAGGAGGCCGGGTGAAATGAAGCAGGCTACCAGCTACCAAATTCTGACGAAAAACCTCGTTGAGGCCTCCAAGCTGGCAAAGCAAGGCGACGTGGAGGGCTTGAAGAAGTACCTCAAGCAGGCGGTTGTCGGATCCTTCCTAGGCTTCCACCTTAGAGCTCTGCAAGTTCTTTAAAGGATTCCTGTCAACTCAAGAAACCAATCCAGCACGCCCACCGCTGATTGTGAGCCTCAGTCCGCCTGCTTCTCGATCCCGGTACTGTGGTTGTGGCAGATTGTGGTAGGCTTGTCTTGCTGAACCCGCCACCTAGGCACCAAGACAGCAACTCTCAACTCGATCTTGCTTGTATCTGTGAGGCGGAGGCCGTGAGCCACGGTGACTTGGAAGTCAATGTCATGCAGTCCTGAACTCTTCATTACATGCCAGCACTGAGCACCGTAAATGCCGGAATATTTTTTGATCGCTGTACTGTTGTAGACTGAGACTAGGAATGCTTAGCACAAAAATAATGTCTTTTGTTGTGATCGCGGAAAACCACGCATGAAACAGCCCGAAGAAGTGTAATGAGCATTCTGCAAACACCATTACGGCAACTACTACTACTACTACTACTACTACTACTACCACTACTACTACTACTACTACTACTACTACTACTACTACTGCTACTACGACGACGACGACGACGACGACCCCTACTACCACTACTACGACTACTACGACTACTATGACTACTACGACTACTACGACTACTACGACTACTACGACGACTACGACAACGACGACGA